CTTATCATTCCTTCTCTTCCTTGATACTCTACAACTTCTTTAAATTTGTCAAATTTCTTATCATTCCTTCTCTTCCTTGATACTCTACAACTTCACTAAATTTGTCAAATTTCTTATCATTCCTTCTCTTCCTTGATACTCTACAACTTCATTAAATTTATCAAATTTCCACCTTTGGGGATTGCTCCATTCCGTGTCTCTTTGCAGTTCATATTTACATTGAGTAATGCAATTTCATTTAGTGTCCCGAGAATTACAAGCATTTGTGGTTATAATAAAGTGAACATCAAAGGCAGCAATTTTTTTTTAACTCAAAAAGCGGTAATGAAAGTGGAACCTTTACCGCTGCGTAATATACTTCACAATTAATTAGTTTGAATAAGAAGTGCATCCAAAAAAAAAGTGATAAGTAAAGGTATATATGTGCGAGAAAAAGGAAAAAAAAAAAGAAGAATGGCGAAGATAGAATCATGGAGCGCAAAAGTGACAAAGCTGTAAAGACAAAAGCAGTAAGCGGATGATAAATGATACTTGCTGAAGTGCTGGAGAATTTTCTATATCAAAGCAAAATTAACAACGACAAATTATTTCTTAATATAGCTTTCTCCATTTCGGGGGAAAAAAAAGAATTGTGTGTATTGTCCTTTCAGTAAAATGCGCAATCCGGTTTTACGGATTATCATTGCAATCCAGTACGATGCAGTACTGTAGTAACAGTGATTTTGTTAAATTTCTTATAAAGTTTTTTTTCTCTCATTTGTTATTTTGAATTTGATTATTTTCAGGTTTCAGAATTATTCTACTGTACAGAACGTTGCACTCAGGCTGGGATCGGTTACTTACCAATGATGTTGATTATGATTTCCGTGATACTATCATTTTTATTATTTTGCTTCTCTTGATAATGCAAGTGATAAAAGTGTGTTAATTTACAAGTGAATAGGATGATGATAACCTGTAAATATGTGAATGTGAATAGAGTAAGTAAATTAAATTCCCGCACTTGTCTTACCACATTTATTTTAATCATTGTTCCAAGTGAATTATGGGAACAAAATGCAGTTTCGTTTAATTAAAACATTTCATAGTTACTCGGAAAGAAAAAAGTAAATACTTAGTTAACATGATAAATCGGAAGATATTATTGTTCTTTGGAAAGGAATTATTAAATTTCAGATTTATTGAGTCGAAGAAATAAATTCTTTCAAAAGGTTTAAAATCTGTTTTCGATGAAAATTGATGGTTAAAATAAATAAATGATAGATATTTGCGCTAATGATAGATGTTTACGATGATAGACATTTGCGCTAATGATAGATGTTTACGATGATAGATATTTGCGCTAATGATAGATGTTTACGATGATAGATATTTGCGCTAAACAAAAAAAAAAGAAAAAAAGGGAAAAATGATCTAATGCTGAGGCGGTTGGACTTCTTAATTATTAACACATTTATGATAAGTTCGCCGAAAAGACATTGCAAAGAGCGCCGAAAAGATCTAATACAATTCAGAATGTGATAATCAGTGCTCGAATTTTGCTCGATGAAAGATTAAGATTTCATAACTTAAATCCAGAACTCTGAAATTATCACAAATTAAAAATAAGCATTCTCGAATTTCTCGAATTATTTTTTCTGATAAATGCTAGTGAGTAATTGTTGTCTATTGCTGTTTTTTTTTTCACTTTTGTTGAAGTTTAAACAATTTGCTGGTAAAAAGAATAACCTAACAGATTAATGACACGAATTCCCGTGAAATCTCGAGCAAGAATTAACATAAATGTGTATAACTGTCATTTCTCTTTGTAAAATCTTGAATATTGAATGAAATTTTAATCTGTAAAAGAATGTTGTTTTCAAAATTAATGGAAATCTAACAATGAAAGTTCAAAATTAACTTATACGAATTATTTAATGCTGATTTATTGGAAAATAGTAATGTAATGCTAATATTACTAGAAGAATTTTTTCCACTATGCAAAGATTATTTTAAATATAAAACTTTCAGGCCTTTTTTTTTGATAGGAAGCTAAGTGATTGTGATAAGTTTACAAATCATTTTTATAGGTAAGTCCCATTTTTCATTACTAATTTTACACTGCGACATTGTTGGATTTTTGTTCAAGCAAATTTGTGTGACACAACTTTAAGTGCATTAAAATTCTTCAATTCTCAATTGACTAAATATAGCTTCTAGATAATTACAGGGATACAATAATTAGCCGAAATTAATTAATCAAAAAAAAAAACAAAAGGGATAACCGAAAATCAAATGAATTTCCATTTTCATTGTAATTTTTTTTTTCTCTCTTCTAATCTAATATTATGCAAATTTTTGATTGTCATTTATATATTGTTATGCTTGTTTTGGATGTTTTAATCAAAACAAAAGAAAACAAATTGATGTATTTTTTTTTTTTTTAACGCAACATTACAATTATGTTGATGGACAAATTTTACATATTAATAATAGTTTTGTTGTAGAAACTACGCGATAAACCTACAGAAAACAATTAATGAAATATTTCCTGGATTCAAAATGTAACTTCAACTTCTTAATTTCCTCGTGTCAAAAACAAAATACAATTTAAAAAAGAAAGTTAAAATGAAAATTACTACCTTAATTGAAAATTGACAGGTAAAATTTCACATTAAATACAAGTATCTGTAAATTTGAAAGTTTAAATTTCCTTTTATTCAAATATATATATGTATGTGTGTAGCGTAAAGTTTTTGTGTCATATCAATGTGCTGAATTAATTTTTGTTGTGGTATAGTGATAACCAGGGTAATAGCAGTGATAATTGCAATAAGGCAGTATGATAAGACATGAGGAAATGATTAAATTGCTTGCTTTCCTTAACGTCTGGTACCATCTTCGAAGAATACACCACCATCGATAGCGCAGTATTTCGGGCATACACCACGTTCGCCAGCTTTTCCAGGTGGTCCTTGTGGCCCAGGTGCACCAGGTAAGCCATCTGCCCCAGGTTGTCCATCCGCACCAGGTACACCTGGTGGCCCTGGTGGTCCGGCTGCACCATCTTGTCCTGGTTGTCCTGGTCGTCCTGTTGGTCCCTGTG